AAAACATATTAAAAATAACATATTACAAACATATTATAAATAAATACGTTTAATTTTATAAATACGTTTAAAAATATATTTTGTTATATATATATATATATATGTATATAAATTTATTAATTACCAAAAATTTAAAAAAAAATATATTTTTTTGTATAGGACCGGCCGTAACCGGTTATGGGACCGGAACCGGGACCGGATGGCTTAACCGGTTACCGGTAAGCTTGACCGGTTATTGAGGATTTCACCGGAACCGTGACTGGTTATGGAGGGACCGGTTATGGAACGTTTTTGTCATGATCGGGACCGGCCGTAACCGGTTATGGCCCGGCCCGGGACCGATTTTTGGCCACCTCTACTTGGCAACCACAAAGTGCAAGAATTAAACTATGGACGCTTTGGTTCTATTATGAGCAAGAGTGATAATGAAAATACTTGTTTGATTACCGAGTCCATGATAATTAGCTTCGAAAACAATCTTATCTAATAAGTCAAGATTGGGACATCTCTTATGGTCCACCTGCTGTTTGTACTCTTGTGAAACTTTAGCCTTCAACTATGATTCAGGAAGTAGGCTACAGGAAAGAGGTATTTTGATATCTTTTTTAGTTAAGCCTTCAATTAACGTTTTAATTTTTCATTTCTAAGTTGGATGAGAAATTTTACTTATCAATGTCGTCAAGTCACTATTTGGTCTTTATAATTTTAAAATTACGATTTTATCCCTATGATTTATAATTCATTACCTTTTTTATCTTTATGATTTTAAATTTATTGTTTTTTCCGTTCCTAGAGTTTACAATTCATTTATATTTTAGTCTTTCATACTTAAAAGTAATATTTGATCTCGGAAATGAAAATGAAAATAAATTACAAACTATAAATGCTAAGACAGAAATTCCAAATTCACATAAATGAAATCTACAATTTTTAACAAACCGTTAAAAACGAAAAAACTTGAGTGTTCAACACTTTGGTGAAATAAATAGTAGAACAATAAAAAAGGGTTAAAAGAAGAGTAGGATATGATCATATGTTGAGTAAACTACAAATTTGGTACCTTTGGTTTGTTGAAAAATAATATTTCATCCTTATAATTTTAAAAATACAAGATAGTTATCATAGTTCGTAAAAACGTTCAGACTAGTCCATTTTTCAAACCACAAAGGTGATGTCTGATTGATTTGAGCTTAGCTCCAAAGGTCAAAAGTATCAGGAGGTCCTAGGTTCAAATCCAAGGAGAAATAAAAACCCCCTTGTGGCCATGGAGATTCAAATACGGTGACTCTGGGCTATCTGCAAAGCAGTTGGTCGTCCTGGGATTAGTCGGCTCGCAAAGCGGGTTGGATATCCAAGTTAATAAAAAAGAAATTCTTTAAATGAGAGGTATTTTCGTTCTTTTATCGATTTTTTGTCTTTTACCGATTCAAAAACCATAGGGGCCAACATCATAAAATTGATGTCTATTAGGTAAAAGACAAAAAAATAATAATAAAATACCTCTCATTTAACGAATTATTTTAATAACCATTAGAGGGGGCTTAAATCCAAACGTTTTTATAAGTTATGGTGATCATTTTATAATTTTAAAACTAGAGAGGGATGAAAAATGTTATTTTTGAGAAAAAATAAGGACTAAGTTTGTAGTTTACTATTATAAGTTTCATTAAACTAATGGACAGAATGACAAAAATATCCAATAGATCATATCCGTGCAGGCTTTGGAGGTTGGACTAACGTCAGGATACCAAATTTTTGTTGACAATTTTGGGCTTTGCGACTGCCATCGGTCATCGGTGAGGTGGAAGGTCCCATTTCCGTTGTGGCAGTTACCCACCGGTGGAGATGAAGGAATACGTAGGCATGGTGGGAGCACAGATCGCCCAAGTACTACTCATGATAGTCAGCAAGTACGCCATAGCCGATGGTATGTCCAACTACTCCTTCATCTTCTACTCCAACGCTCTCGCTTCACTCATCCTTCTTCCTCTTTCCTTCATCTTTCACAGGTAGCTTAAATTACCTCCTTCTTCTTCTTACAGTACTTGTTCGCATTTCATGGCTTCTATTGAATGGTTACGTTGATTGCCTGTGTTTTTGTTGCAGATCGGCGAATCGTCCTCCACTGACTTCCATCGTAGTCTGTGGACTTTTCACTATTGGCCTACTAGGGTATGAGTTTTTAACATGAATTTTATCGGTGTTCTTTGTTTATCCGTTCCATTTGTATACAATGATTACATTTTTGAATCTGAAAACATTTTCGTTGATTCGTAGGAGAAAGCCCATGTTAGTAGCATTGACTTTGTTATTTTTGGAACCGGAATTGGAATTAGAACTCAAATTTTCTCGAATTTGAACTGATGTAGCTCGATATTTAGTTTCTAACCACTGGTATTATGTATGAACTTCTGATTTGTGATACGTTGAGAGAGAAACTAGAAACTGCATCACCAATTGCATCTGAAAAAATTGCATTCCAGCATCCTATACTTTGGCCTTTCAGTAGAGTTATGAGCTATCTATCTAAGTCCAACTAAAGTAAGGAAGTCACCAATTATTTTGTTTTGGTTTGGAAAATATAAAGGACTAAGATAATGGATTATTGACCACAACGAGGAAGTATGAAAGGCTAAGTTTGGGGGAGAAGTTTTTATATTTGTTTAGCATTTCCGTGGGTGTACTCTATCTATATCAGTAAGCTTCATTCAGGAATTGGGTTACCCCCATCTGAAATATATAATATTTATAGATGGTAAATGAAACTCACACACACTCCTCACCAAACCTTTGGTGAAGTTCAAATCCTTGACCTCTCGGAAGGTTGTGTAACTTGTGTTACTGATACTGCTAGGCCAATAGCCCTTGGTTTAATCGTAGAGGTTTTTTGTAAGGGTGTCCGGGCTAAAGCCACGACTAATCCCGGCAAATTTGGAGGCTAAACATGGCCCCACTTAAATGTCGCCAACACTCCCCTCCCAGGGTTCGAACTCGGGTTCATGACTATGCCATGCCCAAGCCTTTACCACTAGGCTGGAAGGTCTTTGACTAATCGTAGAGGTTCTTGGTGCATAATCTACTACGCATAAAATCTACCTTTTTTGGAAAATGGAAACACACTGACTGGTTGATGTTTGTAGTTTCTTGGCACAGGTATTTGGTTATTCTGGCATCTCATACTCCTCTGCCACTCTTGCAACAACAATACTCAACCTCATCCCAGGTTTTACGTTCATACTTGCCATCCTATGTAGGTAAAAGTAGTTATGCTACTATTATCTAGTTTCCCCCAACATATTGTATTTTTGTATGTTTTGGTCTATGAACTGTCATTGCTATTTACATTTATTGAACTGGACTATTTCTGCATATCGAGTCTCAGTCGATTTAGATTGGTGGTTCTAGGATGGAAGCAGTCAACTTTGGAAGCTCAACCACGCAGGCAAAATTCATCGGCACTGTGGTTTCAATTGCAGGGGCTATCCTTGTCACCCTTTACAAAGGCCCCTCAATAATACCATCTACTTTAAAATCAGAAATCCCGAAGCATCTGCTAGTGCAACCATCAAACTGGGTAATTGGAGGAGTGTTTCTAGGAATTGATTGCGTCTTTTCTTCTATGTTTATCATTTCACAGGTAAAATGGTACAGCAATAGCTGATAATCACTTTCGTATTAACATATTCTTGCTAACTCTTTGTTTGCTAAAATATTCAGGCATTTGTCCTTAAGAAATACCCTGCAGTGATGATTGTAATGTTCTCTTACTGCTTTGTCTGCACCATCTTATCGGTTTTAACTTCTCTGATTGTGGGAGCTGATCTAAGTACTTTTAGTTTACGGCCTAAGAAGAGGTTGCTTTCTATCCTCTACTCGGTAAGTAGATATGCTCAATTTAGTAAGTTTGTCAAAACATAGTTACATTGGACGAATAATGGTTTCTTGCAGTTTCGTAGATGTTCAGTTTTCTGTTTTTATCCAGTTGTTAAATGACATACATATGCTCTACTTGTATGGCACGTATAATTTGAGCTTAAGGTCTAGTACTTTCAGACGTGACATAATCCTGCTACAGTTGTCCTGTGTACCTGTCAGTTGGTAACCCAGCAGTGTGCCCACTAGATCATCTGAATCTATTTCTTTTGCTTCTAAAAAACATTTTCTGGCCGTTGCATGTTAAGATCAGTGTGGTATGACATCTTTGTTTTCATCGTTTATTTATTATTATTATTGTTCAACATTGGTGCCTTCTTTGTGGAAATATATAGGGGATTTTTGGGTCTGCTTTTCAAGTCACAATTCAAGCATGGTGTGTACAAAGAAAAGGGCCACTTTTTGTTTCCATGTTTCATCCAGTGGGAATTGTGATCTCAACTTTGATTGGTCTCATCTTCTTAGGCGATGGTTTCTACCTTGGAAGGTGAAGATGTTTTCCCTCAAAGTACTGTTTACTTTTTATGTTTATGTTATTTCACATCACACATTTATGTATCTGAATTGTCATGATACTGATTAGTAATTTGAAACCCTCAAATGTAATTTTTTTGCAGTTTGGTGGGATCAGTTGTTGTTGTCTTTGGATTTTATACTGTGATGTGGGGGAAGGCCAAAGAACAGATTGTGGTCGTTAACACAGGAGGGAGCTCAAAATTGCAGAATGAAGGGGCCCCTCTCTTGCGGGATAATGTTGAGGAGCAGATTACATCCCTTTCACCATAAAGCTCAATATCTGAGCATAATAGAAAGTTATTTTTTTTAAAGGAACACAAGTATAAGTTGCTTTTGTATGAAACTGGAGATTTGGGTCAGTGATCTACCAATTTTCATGTATAGGTAGTTCTTTCTCTTGGGAAAAGGGTGTATTCTTTATGCAAGTCACATGGAAGAATTATGTGGACTATGTTTATTTTGTTATTTAAAAGTTTATGTAAAAAATGCTCCTTAGTTATCTAAGACAAGTACTTGAGTGTTCTTTTAAAACCTCATTGAGCAAGTGGGCTTGAAAAGATATATGCGGACACATTCAACACCAAGCACCACTACAATGAAATACTATATGGGGAAATTTGCAGCTGAATACTGTTAACTAACCGAGAAAGAAGAGCATTACACATATAAGAACAAGAAGGCACATCACGGATAATTGTCACCCTGCAAAAAGATTTCAAGAAATCCAGGTAGTCTTCAACTTATGGCTGTTCGTTTAGGCAAGTAAACGTTCGACATTTTGTTTTGCTAAAATCGGGTGAAGAGGAAGGACAGTGAGTGTAGTTCCCATTTTCTTTATGTGGGGAGAATTCAGATGGGACCTGCGAAATGGAGAACGGAGCATGTAGGTGGTGTAAAGGAATGCTAAATACTACATATTATACATACACGTAAGGTGTCTCAGTATTAGTGTAGATATAGTACATTATAAGTTTGTGAAATAAACATGTATGTATTTGAACAAGACCGTATGGGAAGAGATATGAAATGATGATCAGCTGTTTGAGTTTCTTGATGCATGTAGTTGGGTTCACAAGAATTACACATGCCTTTGCTACAGTTGGCATAACATGCTCAATGTCGTACAAGGTTTTCTATTTGTGCTTGCCTTCATCTTCAGGTAATCATTAATTTCTTGCTTCTATTTATATTGTTGTTGCTTACTCATATCTAATTTCTCAATATTTAGCATATCTCTTTTCTTTCTTTTTGTATTGTTATTCTTATTCACATCTAGCTTTTTAAATCTTAGCTTATCTGTATATTTCACTTTCACACTTTTCACCAGCCAGAGGTCTTCACAGAAATAACAGCTCTACCCTGTAGGGCAGAGGTCAGATCTGCGTACATTACCCCCCCCCCCCCCCCCCCCCCNAGACCCATCTCCAGGTGGTATACATTGTGTTGGTTTGGTTCATGACTTGTCTAAGCCACCATCTTTAATAGTTAAAAATTTACAAATCTTTCACAATGGTACTGGGGTGTAAGACTAGATTATGGAGGTAAATATTAAATAAACAATGTATCAATGTCAAACTGTTGACCTAATAAAACGGAGCAATCAAATTTGTTATGAATGACATGGAGCTCACACACACATATGCTAGATGATGGCTTGCCGTTCACAACAAATTTAATAGGTATGTGGTATCACATCAACAATCTAACGTGATCCCCCCTCCCAAAACAAACTTCTTGGACAGTCATCTTTAGTGGATTCTTGGAGGAATGTTGATGGCTATTTACCTTATTTGAGCTGCTACCTTGGTAATTGCTCAGGTTTTTGATATTTAGTCTGGAAATGAGTTTCAGACGAATTTAGAAATAAGATCAACCCACAATTAAGAATCGCCAAAACAGGCTAAACACAGTGTCTGCGTAGGTTCTAACTTCTAGTCATTTAGAGCAACGTTTTTAATTACTATGGTTACATTACAACCAAAATTAGTTTGAAAGATAGATGTTTAAGTGGGTTTTCTAATAGAATTTTGCTATTTGTATTTAGACCCAGACCCAGATGGGATTGAACACAACAGGGAAAAGACATATCTGGAGGTCATTTTCTAACCAGGATGAAGGCTGGGTGGATACAGGGGATTTGTTCTAAAGGGGTGGGTTCAAGAGATAACACTAAAAAAAAGAGAACAAGGGAAGTGGTTCGAACCATCCATCTACTTTTGTGAATAATAGAGAGTTACATTTTTGTCAAAATTAAATAATTATAGGGGTAGTTACATTCGAATACGGCCATCTATTTTTTAGATCCAACGGTAGACAGGAGTTCCTTTTTTTGGGTTCTCTTAAATTTTCTCTTGTTCTAAATTCCAAGCCAGCTGTATGTATTTACAGTCTGGAATATGGTTTTCGGTTTTACACTAGAAGAATATGTACAGTGCTATATTATAAGTTCTTTGGAACAAAATTTTCACGGCGGAGATTAGGGGTAAAGTTAATGTTCCATTAAATGAAAACGAGACCACCAACCACGCTATAATCTGTCTTAGGACCGTAGAAGAGACCCATAAGATGAATGCGTTAAACAGTCAACACAAATGGAAGGTCGTATTTTCGAAATATTTTAAACCCATAGATTATAGTGAATTTATAACGTCGGATCCTCCCTCTTTCCATTGATTTCAATGTCTACTTTTAGGTACAGAAAGGGAAGTAGTACATTTTATTTATAGCATATAAAAGTCGACCCAAAACAAGCATCAAGGACTTGTACTTTATGCTGCAAGGAGATAAGCATCGATCTCCTGGAAATTCTTGGCAGCCAAGTCTCTGATCAAGTTAGGATCAGGAACCTCTTCACTTGCTTTCTCAAACTCACAAATCCATTTCACAATGCTTCCTTCTCCTTCAGGAATCACTTCAAGAGTAGCCTTGAAAGTCTTGTAGTATTGCATCATATCCCCACCAATCACACTGTATGCAACTTTCTTCTTTGCTTCATCAAATTCTTCAATCTTCTCTTTAGCTGATTTCACAACCGGCGACCCTATGTTGCAGTTAAACAAATAATTAGATACGATAAATACCCAAGAAGGGTTCACTCATTTATTCGTGAATTGTTTGTTGGATTGTGCTTTACAGCCCAACAATCCTTCCCAAGAGTGAATTCAGGATTTGTTTGCATAATACAACATATCCCACACGGTCTTACGGTCTGTGGTTTTTAGACGTTGCCTCTATCCCAAAAGGTAGAGAGGCTGTTCCCCTGAAGACTGTCTGCTGCTATAAATCAGTTTTAACTAACGGCAATCTTAAAGATCAAGAATTCTTGATCCTGGATATACAACCAAAAATACAACAATCACCTAACAAAACCATTTGCATCCATAATCTCTCACTTTCTTTGTGTACAACTCTAAAAGTTGTGAAGGTTTGCACCAGCAGTGCTTATGCATTTGCGATAAATGCAAGCATGCATAAGCACCCTGGTGCAAATCAATAATCTCGATGATCTAGATACTTCTAGATCTTGGATCCATTGATGAGTTGTGTAGTTCAACATCACAACTGATCAGTTCATCTAGTTTTGAAGAATTATTCTCCAAGATCATGTAAGCTCTAACCAAATTTCATTATTATACCTTCGGCAAAGTTAACGACACGAACGGAGCCGACGCTATGTCCATCACCTTCAAGAATTTCAACATTTTTGTAGAGATCAGAGCAGACTTTAGGGAAGATGGTGGCAGAGTCTCTGATGCTTTTCCAGAACTTGTTTGCATCAGATTTCACCTTCACTTCAACATCAAGCTTCCCGGTGGTGGTGGTTGCCATTGTCAAAGTCAAAGCCAAAAGTCAAACAGAAAGTGTATTTGAAAGTATGCAGAAAAGCCATGATATGGAGTTGTTTATATAGGGAGGATGGGGTTAAATGCAAGGCTTAAAGATGGGGAGGGAGGGTAGTTGGCAATTGCATTAAGCATGGAGGGTCATTTATGGGGCACTTTGTTTTGTTGGGATTACAGAAGTGGTGATGGGGTAAAATGTAAGAGGTAAAGTTGATGAGGGGGTAGTTGGCAATTGCATTAAGTATTGGGGGGGTCATTTATGAGGCATTTGTCAATATGGCTTTTATGATGGAAGGGGTTATCGGGATCGTCAATTATTCAATGACCGTTTATAAAGGAATTTGTTGATTTCAACACCGTAAATATTTTAAGAATTATGTGTTTAAATGTTCATTCAATTCATATTGAATACTTTTTATGTATATTTAACAGTATGGTCAAAACATAAAAATATGTTCTAACGCTTATAAAAGTATTGTGTAAAATGCAAGAAATAATAACCTATTTATATATATATTTTTTAATATAATATAGTACTTTTAAATTAATTTAATTTTTTATTAAAACATTGTACTTTAAAAAATTTACTTATTATAGCATTAAGTCACCTTTTGATTTAAATTTACCAATCATATCAGGTTTGCATGTCATTCCACATGTAGGCTTTTCACATGTCCTATAGCTGATGTGACATTTATTATTATAACGTTGTACTTTTAAAATTATTTTATTATAACATCGACCAATTATTACAATACCGTACTTTTAATTTTAATATTTTATTATTTAAACATTTTACATATTATTTATAAATATATTAAATGGAAGAAAATTTCTAAATTATTTATTAATATACCAATATTAATAA